TCAGAAAGCCAGCTTGGCAAATTCAGAAGCTCCAGAGCCTTACAAAAACTGGCTAAATGTTACAGCTTCAGCACCTTCAGCCCCATGCATGCATTCTAATCAGAGGTGATACAGATGCAGCACACTTTGCAAGTGTAAGACTGAGCCCAATATCTCCTTATGAAGTTTCTCTGCCTTGACTGCTTTGTAGCACCTCCTTTACACAAGCACAACGATGAGAGGAAATTTGCTGAGAAAGATCAAGTCACACTCAAAAGTGACAACCTTCTCTAGAAGCTCCAGGCACACATCCTGAAGAACAAAGTTGCTGAGAAAATAACCATAGCTTAGGTAATAAGGTAAATTTCATTCAGCTGTAACTCAGGTGGTCATTTCCTTCTGCAATTGCAGCACAGAAAGGTTCATTTCTGGCCCTGTCACAGAAGCAATTTCCATAAAAACCTTCCCAAAATGTATTTTCTCACCTTAAACCCAGAATGTTCAGTGCTCAGAAACTCAAATGCAAGACAAAAAAAAAAAAAAAAAAGAAATAATCTTTCAGGGATCCACTTAGAATGTCTCACTCACACACATGAGAGCTAAACTGACCGCTCATGGAAGGAATTATCCTTGCTGGACTGCCTGATGGGTACTTTGAAGTTGGGAAAGCAACTCGTTTCCTAGCACCAGCCAGACTTTTTAGCTAGAAAATTTGCTGCTAATTCAGTAGCTCAAGACATCAGCAAGTGCTTCATATTTCTTTCTTCCCCTCTGGCACTTCCAATTTTTTTTTCTACTTTGGTGTTAAAGATCTCCAGTTTGTTACCATGCTCAGAGCAGCCTTATGGTGTTACTTGCCTGGTGAGAGCCAGAGGGTGAGTGGAAACTTCTGGATTGGTTTTAAGGGATCAAATGGTCTTCTTTAATCTCAAATTTTTACTGACATTTTATCATTGTCAGTTATATCTCTAGCAGGGTATCTGCATTCCTCAGCTGTGAGTGACTAACAAATTGTTCCAGGTTCTACCATTGCAGCTTTATATTGTCCCACCTTGATTAATTGAGCCTGGCTTTCTCAAAGCTGCTTAGTGCAATATCTGGTTCCATAGGATCTTAAGTTGTTGCTTGGAAATGAGGGCAAATTATTTGGCCAGCCTACTTACCAGCTTTTGAATGCTGATCTAATGTGATTACTACCTCACATTTTTATGTTTTGTCTTAGCCAAGACTGCAATTTCAAATACTATTTGACATTTCCTCTCCTGATGAGTTCAAAAGAAACAAAAGGCAGTAACTAAGATGAAAGCTTTAATTGAAGGAGGAAGAAAAGACACCACAGAAGCTTCACGTGGCACCATCAGCGATACATGGCATTTGTCATGAAACAGGCTGTCATGTCAGAGTGTGTGCAAATGAGGACCGAGCATCTTCAGAGCCAGGGAGCACTGCACACCAGCTGTGAGATATGAACTTGTTATAAAGAATTGAAACACACACAAAAAAATAGCAATCATTACTAGACACACTGGGTATTCACAAGACAAACAGGAAAAGGTGCTTACCAATGGGAAGGGAGGAAGGTAAATGTCAGTTAAAAAAAGGTCAGAGACAAAGCAGCTTGGATCCAAATCACTGAGGAAAAACACTAAGATGAGTACTTTTGAAGCTGGCTCTAGAACACCCATTGCAGTGCATTCATACACCTGCCTCCTAACTGATATTCTGCATTACTTTTGTTATTACAGAATACTAATCTCCCAATTGCAGGGGAAAAAAAAAAAAGAAAGTAAAAGAATTATTATTATGGAAATTAAGTAAAATAGTAAATACTAAATGCTTTTAACTGTTACTGAATCAAAGGTGAGTCATGAGTTCTGTTTTAGATAAGTGAGAAAGATATTCTGGATCAAGAGAAATACAAACTAACCAGGGAGTGCAGCAGGAGTGCAACCAGGCTAATGAGAGATTCACCAAACATGACATGAAAGAAGATTAACAACATTAGAGCTGCATACCCTAAAGAGAAGGAGGCTCACTGGGGGGCTGCAACATCTTCACATGCAAGGAGTGAAACACAATCTTTTATCCATACCTGGGACAGATAAGTTACTCAGTTTTCCTGACTAATTACAAAGAGGAATATTTAGGGCAAACATTAAGAAAGTCTTTCCAATGTCAGGGATGAGGAGGCAGAATTGATTATCTGAGAGCTTCTCCACCATAGGAGATCTCTCAGAACAGATTGAAAAAAATATCCGTCAGGATTAATATACAGTTGATCCTGCCTTGGGGCTGATGGATGTGTTACACGACCTCTCCAACACCTTTTCAGATTATTCTACCACAATTCTGTTATGTGGTTGCCCACAAAGTCTGGAACTGGATTTGATAATGTGAAATGTTGTTTCCAAGGTTCTCTAGGAACTCACAATTGATGCAAGATAACTGTCATTTTCAGGTACCACAGAGCTATTTGTTTCCCTGCTGCAGCAACTGTCATCTTCATGCAGCTGCGAAAACATGCATAGAATTTAGAGTAATTATTATTTGGTTTGCAAGCCAGTTCTGAAGAGTGGTAGATTAGCTGTATTGCAAATATACTAAGGGACATTTCTGAACAAATTTTTTTTTGTCAAAATCATCCTTGAAACATAGAGATCTTCAAATATTTCAAATTGCCTACTAGAAAGGCTTTGTTTTTGCAGAGGTGTTACAGATCTAACATAGCTTGATGCCTACACTGGTTGATCTCTGGGAAAAACAAAAGATTTAGACAGCATTTTGGAAGAGATCTTGCATCCAGCTTCTCCAAGTCATTTACTGAGAAGGCTCCCAAACCAGTTCTGATTAATATCTGATTCAGTTAATTCTACCTTCAATACAAACAGAAGACTTCCACAATCCTTACTGATAAACAGAATCTCCAGTCTAAAATCTAGTTCGTGGCCGTAAGAAGACTGAATATCTTTTCAATAAAGTTTCCACTTGTGGCAATCATTTCTGCTAGAGAAGCTGGCAGTGATCTTAAGGTAGCTATACTCCTAGTTACTCTTGTCTGTATATAATGAACACCCACACTTCTGAAAATCTGCAATTAGAACTATGTTAACAAATCTTTCGGGCTCTAGGAAGAGAAGGGCCTTACAGTTACTTATTAATTGTGGCTACAACTGACTTATGACAGACACTTCATATTCAGCCAAAGCAGTCCTCTCACACCAGATGTGTACTACACTGCATGAAATGTCTATCTCGTGTAGCATGCAGTTGTCTCTATACTAGCTCTAACCCCATCAAAAATATAACTTAACTGAGTTGTCTGCAAGCTGCTCTTCAGTCATGAACTCTGTAGAAGATAAACCACCTGCATCACAGCCTGCACACTTCTGCTGGAGGTCAGTCTCAGCCTGTGACATGAGCTCTGTTCCCTCAGCATCACACTGAAGCTGTTTACAATGCAATCTGCTTTGATCACACAGGTTCATCTAGATCCCACGCAAATTAATTTAAAGCCTCAGCTTTAATCAAAACAATTCTTGTTCATGTTACAAGATGTGTATTTTGATCTCATCATAGCCCAAGTTTTAGACCCCTCAGAGGACTTCGTCATTAGTGGCACGTGGCTTTGCTCACCAGTTTACAGCTAACTCCTGAAGCTTCATTATGAAATAACAATAATAAATACAAACGAACAACAAACAAGAGAAAACTCTTACTGGGATGCTTCCTTTAGGACTCACCAACTCAATCGCCTATGCTGACAGAAATGAATCAACAAAGACCTGACACTTCACAACTATTCAAACTCTACAATAACCTGTTTTTCTTCTCTCTAAAATAAAGGTGTTGCAAAACAAGGTGCCAGTAGCTATTAAAATGATCAGCTGAATTTATAATGGCAAAAGTTCACGTTAAAAATCTCATTTCTTACCTCGTTATGAGAAACTGCACAGTGAAAAGGATTGGCCAATGCTGTACAGTGACAGCGTTAGATGACATTTTCTCCCAAATCCTAGTGTAAAACCTTACTTTACCCTGCATTACTCAACAGAAGGGAACAGTCACGTAAACTGCTTTCCAGAGCAGCCTGTTTGTTAACAGCTGTTTAAGGATGAGGTAATGTTGGATAGCAGCTTTACAACCTCAATGTACTGCTGCAAGTTTCATCCTGGTTATAAATCCCTTCCAGAAAGGGAAAGAAGAAGGTTATTACCTCTGCTAGTTCGCTTAACTTGCTGGGATACTGCACTTTGTGTTCTCTATCCAATCTCTCCAAGAAGAAAAATGTCACAAAATAACCATCTAAGTCCTTTAGAATGATAATGCAAACTCACATATAAGAAGTTTCGGTCTAGTTAGGATTTTCAGAGCAATAAAACATCTATTATGCAGCTCATGGACTGAAACAGTGTTTTTGAGGCTACTTCAGCTAGCAGTTAAAAATAAATAATAATAAAAAAAAAAAATCAATGTGTATTTTAAAGAGAAGAGATACATTATTAACTAGGCAACAGAATAAAGGGGCTTCCTTGGAATTAATCCAGTCTGTCACTAAAAAGCTTACTCAGAACATAATCCTGAACAGAACTCCTCAGCAACTCAAGGGAGGACTTCACTCAGCAAGCTCAGTGGCCAGCCTTTCAAGAAAAGGGTACAGGACAGAATCTCTTCTCTCTTTAGTTTATGCTGAGCACAGTTAGAGTTCAGGGAATGGACTAGGGACAGATGACACTGCTTAGTCCCTACAAGTTAAAAGCAGAATGAAGAGTGCTTGTGGGATTGCCCGAGCAAGTTTTACCCTTTTCTTGTCACACATGAAAGTCACTGATTTCTTTTGAGAAAGATTCACTACCCACAGCCATGACAGAAGAACCAGCAAATACCACCCAACGGCTGCCATGTTCCTTCAACAGTTGAAGGACGTTACCACTTGAAGTGTTAAATCCACAGTCCAATTAGAGTTACGGAACAAACAACGCATGTTAGTCTGATGAATACATTCTAAATTTGTTCACACTCACCTTGTAGGCCCAGCTCTGATCCTGCTGACAACATACTGTAGAACTGGAAACTAGGAGCACTCAATTTAGTAGATGAAGGATGTTTTCAAAAATGCTTTCTTGTTCATAGAGGCAAAGATGCCCTTGGTGCAAATTAAAGCAATCTGTATGCCATTTCCAGCTTGTGTTTACTGACACCACCAATGCAACACGGACAGACGCAGAGAAAAACCAGCACGGACCTGTAAAGGAACAACAGAGAGAACAGTTAGCACAGCAGCCAAAGAAGTACACCACTCTTCTTTAGGGTGTTACATAATCATGTTTATACTCAGAGACATGTAAAACAATATTCACTCATACCTTGCAGAAGCATAAATGAAAACACAAGTTTCAGGTAACGGAGCATGAGCCATTGATTCCTTGATAGAGCACAAAACAGAAGCTTACCAGAAAATTGACTCTTGCCTGTTTGGACAAGACAGCTGGCAAGCCTGATTTAACTGGGAAGCAGAGACAGGCAACCTAAACACGAACCTACAGCCCCAACTCAGAGAATCCCTGGATGTGGGAACAGTGAGTAATTAACACCACTGCCTTTGAGGAGTACCTCTGTATGTGACCTCACACTCGCACACAAATCAAGTGGGCACAGCTTAAGCAGTTCCTGTGCACCAGCTGTCTACAAGCATGGCCAACAAGTGCAAGGAAACACAGCCTAGCCTCACTGGCAATGAAAGAATATCAGCTCACTTGGATTGTAAGTCACTACTTGAGGCCATAAGCCCACTGAAGTTAAGCTGTGTTTGACCATCAAGCATTCCTACTGACAAACTTTTTATTCCTTCCATCCCCAGAAAGAATTAAAATTCCCCTGAACGTCTTGTATTCAGCAAAGGCCAATGCCAGCTGAATGAAAGGACAAGCCATATCTGCTTCCCTGCAGATCAGCCTACAGGGAAAACCAGAGTGCCCATGTATCCACCATGCTCCCAGCTAGAGGGCACACAGCTGCCAGTTTGAGGCTACAGAAAACCCAATCAGTGAAGTGCTGGAAAACAGCAGCACACTGCTGGGCATCCAGACTTATTCAGCTTCTTGCAAAAACACCATCAAGCAGAATAGCTTCTTCTCACAAACGTGTCCTTGCGCCAAATTGCTTTTGTAGTATCACAGCAAACAATGAGGTCCTTCACACTGATCTCCTGTATAACATAGGCCAGATAGGACATCCCATAAATAACACTAGAATTAGATTTGAGCTTCAATGAAGGCATCTGATCCTCATTACTATAATGCCCAAGTGGATGATACTAACCAGCCAATCTGCCCCTTTTACTTCTCTTCATAGAGGTGAGCTCCTCAAACCCACCACCATCCCAGAGAATTAAGGGTGTTAGCACCCATCTTAACCACCCCATCAGATGCCTGTGGTGCAGAGTGGGGTGTGCTCCAGATAAACATTTCCATGCGCACACTTCAAATATATGTTTCCAGCTGACTGGTCCACACAGAATACAGCAGCTCAGAAGTGCACTACAAATGCATTTGGATGCCACGTCACTTTTTGACAGGTGCTGGAAGCAATTCAGGAAAGTTGCATTAATGCAACTTTAAAGCAAGAGGACTCCAGGCTAAATCGAAAAAAAAAAATAAAATCCAGAGGGAAGTACATACAAACTGACAGGGCTCTTATGTCAGGCTGGTCATTTTGCCTTTTCTCCTTTCCTTTTTACTTCTCCCTTCCAGAGGGACTCAGGCATTAGGCTGAGTGTTGAACTGTCAGTTCAGATTTTCAGCCTTACGAGATGGATTTCCCTCATGACTTGAGTCATGCCCTTGCTAACCTTTTGTGGCTGTGTGTGTGTACTTAATCATATGCAGATACACTGAACTTGATTGTCAAAAGGCTGAGTAAATATAACTACACCCTCGTTATTTTGATTAAAGGTAGAAAGATGAATTTGGATTCTAACACGAAATACTGATTCAATGAATAAGCCTGAAATGTAGTGGTTTTCAATTACACTCAGAAATTGGTCTTTTGAATTTCCAAATTACGCGAGGTGAAGCACGTTCCATTTAACCTATAAGCGGGGGATGTATTTGCCATCTTCATAGCACTCTATGACAGTCAGTAATAACTGCAAGGCAAGTGAAAAAATGTAATGTTGGCTGTTGGTGCCCTCCAGGGGCCGTGCAGAGTATAGCTTTCAGTCAAAACATCCATTTTTCTTGTATTTTAGCACTTACAATAAATTTCACATATTATGGCCCTGCTATAAGAGCATGGGTGCTACTATTTACGTTACCCTCAGAGGAAAAATTCTATCTGTGGTCCCACAGACACTGGGGTGTTAAATCAAATAGGAGCAATGCACAGGATATATGCATTTGTATCTGAGTACTCCAATTTCCTTTGCCAGGATTCCTGTGAAAATAAGGCTCATATACAATCATGTTGTGCATTGGTCTGCTCCCTTCCATTAACCTGGAATTCTTTGCCTGGATTCCAGTGAGCATAGGGAAAAGTAAAGTCATGAATATACTACATGCTGCTTGAATTCATGAAAATAGGCATTGAGAAATGAAAGCAAATGAAACTAATGTCCTGAGCACTGTGAGACTCAGTCCCTGTCACTGCAGAATGAGCCTTAAGGTGCAAAACCCAAAGGAAACTCAAACTCATAGCTTCTCCACCTGACACAAGTTTTGGACTGCAGCTTTACAAGGATTCCTTTACTTTCCAGCCTAATTTGGAATAGTAACTACCCATCAAAAATGCTTTCTGCAACATTAGAGCTCAAACCTTAAGTGTGCTAAAGGTAACCATGCCATATTAAAACCACATCTCCTTTCCATCCTCACAGCATCATTACCCAATGAAACTGTAGCTGTGGACTGCTCCCCTTTCACTAAAGTTGGTATTGCACAACTACTTTGCATCAGGGATCAGGGACTGAATTTTGTGTACTTGCTAAGAGTTTTCAGCCCACTGTGCCTGAACACCTAAACAAACTTGAAAGGAAAGATTTTAAGAACTAGGAGAACTCAAAGACTTTGATGTAATTAATATCAGATAATTGTTCATAGTCTTTCTTCTACCAATTTCAAGTGGAAATAAGTCTGCAGAGCTAGTGAAGATCATCTTGGTGCAATTACGATTTATGATGAACAATCCAGCTTCAGCAGCTCTCCTCAAGCTACAGCACAATGATTCTAAACAGGAAACCTGTAGCAGCAATGACATAACATCAATTCCCAGTATTTAACATGCCTACAAGCTAGAACATACCTTCTTGGTTTGCTGCTACATTTGACCACATAGTTCATGGATGAAAAATTACTTCAGAAATCAGAATGGCAGGTAATTAGCAACACATTCATGTCTTCCATTACTTTGTTTTGTTCCCCTTAAATCATTTCCCATCCAATGCTTTCTCATTGTTTTCAAGGTTTATTTGTAGGTACTCCCAAACTCAAAAGCAGCTTTGCTTCTGGCAATGCTACTGCACTGTTTATGCAACCTGAGACGTTTGAGTTGAGCACAGTCATACACAACTAAAATCACATTAATAAGCAGTCAAAAACCTGAACAGATTTTCTGAACTAGTCCAACCTCAGTGGAAATAGAACTCTGTACTGTCATACATCAATTATTATGAGATGAGTACCAGCTAACACCTAAAACAATACACCAAAGCACCTGAATTTTGGCCCGCAGGGGTCCTCAGAAACTGCTAGGGCTGCACGCCCTTATTTCTGTGAAGGCAACAAGAAGGGAAGTTTTAAACCACTGAGCCTGCTTCATCCGAGTCATTTCCACTTACACCCTTGAGATGAACACAGACGTTCTTGAAGAACGATCTCTAACATTCACTGCTGAAATACAAGAAGTATGCGTGCACAAGTATCTTCATCACCTGCAAATCAACGTGAGACAGTTCAGAAGCTTTTCCGGAGCCGCCCCTGGTGAGCAGCACACCCTCAGCCCAGCGCCTGCAGGTGGCATCGTTTTCTTGCATATTTCCAATCTATGCCCTACAGTCGCACTCCGAGGGGGCGTGGAACAAAAAGCAAAGTTTCTGAATGAGAAGAGGTTGCAAACACGACGTACTGATTTATCTTGTTCAAAACCATCAATTTAAACAATTGCTTTATTTTCCACAGGCTGAGCTGGATGTGGTTTAGAAAATATTAGCAAGAAAACGTTAATGCTGGAGAGCACAAAATGAATTTGAGCAGATTGACAACAAAATCCACAACACAGAGCTCTGAACTGCAGAATATGAGGGCTCATGAAAGCACAATTCACATGCATCATCATAGTAGCAAACATTTTCAAATGACAAAGTTACTCCAAACTTTGGAATTCAAGTGCAGCTGGTGTTTCCACATAGATGGCATTTCATTACAAAGCTTTTGCAGAATGACTGACCTTTTCTTGAGATATTTTACATCTACTGCCAGTTAATCACACAGTGCTGGTGTAGCCTCTCATTATCCCTTACCTCCAGGTGGAAGAAATTGAAAATCAATATTTCAGGTGGCTTAAGTTGTGTGCATTTAACTTGAAACACCTTTTAAAACGTTGTATCCACTTTCAAGAAAGCAGCATTTGTATTTTGCCTTTTTCAGCCACTTGAGAAAAGTTAACCCAGCACACAGCGAGGTCTCTAACATCAGCACGCTGACAGCATTAAGGACTTTTATACACCAAGCTTTTCAACTTGTGATTAGTTTTCGTCATATTCCCACACGCTTTGGCACGTGGCAAAGAAAAAAAATACTTCTTTTTTTCCAGGTAAAGTGCTCAGACCATGCAGCTGCAGGGCCATGTCAGCCAGCAGAGCTAGCAGGGACGGCAGATGGAGCAGTGCAGAGACAGGAACACCTTCAACTCCACAGTACTTTACCAGCCTCATGGCCACTATCAGATGTAGGATCTCAGAGTATTTACATTGAAAGTACCAGGACACTGATTGCAGTAGGAAAATACGCACAGATATGTTTATGCTCGGCTCCGCTGCCAAACTGCCTAAAAATGGGAAAGAACATTTGAGGCCTAGCCACTAAAATTAATGGCTCTGTAGAAAGGCTGCAATACCTTGGCCACAGAACTGAGTGATTCAAAGCACGTGACAGTATTTCAGTAATCATAACTTCTTTTGAAAGCAAAGCTACAGCTACTCAGGGTGGTCTTGTTTGCCTTAAATACGTTAAGAAGTTGTGAGTTCAAGCGCTCATTACATCAACACAGCACTTCTTAAGCACTGACAGCAGTGGATAACTTGAAGGGCTTTCAAGATGCTGATACTCTTGTCCTGTGGTCATTTCCTTAATGGCCCAATTACTTCATTCAACAGCTAGAAACATTAAGCTTCTAGTTTTTCTGCTCAAGGCTTCCTGCTGCCCTTCACTGGCACAGAGTCTTGCTGAGCTCAGAAAGAAAATCAGACAACCCATACGTATCAGCATATTTTCTCCCCCGAGTCCAAATTTAAGGCAGACAACTTACACTAGAATACTAATTTAGATTAGGTATTTCAGAACAGCAGAGTAGTTTCCCAAAGTTTTCCTCCTCTTGCTTCTCGCTTCATTAATCAACCTAGTCCTGCCAAAGTACACTGTAGGAAGATTTCTGCAGCTACTGTGGTCTGGGCATAATCATACCTCTGAGATGAATGTTTACAATCCTGTCTCCTCTTTTAACAAAAAGACAAGCAACCAGCTGCCTGGCAGCTGCACAATGCTGCAGTTAACTCCTCCAGCACTAAGACAATTCTTGTACTAAAAGGGGAGTGAAGCAAAGGGAAGAGCAGCACATAAAATGCAACAGGTGCAAGGAAAGTAGCAGCCCTTGAAGAGTGTATTCAGTGAGAGAAGTCTGGAGAAAATGCTACTGCTTACCAGGCATCCAGCCTGGCTCTAAAGTGGAAGGGGGGATCTGCATACACCTCAGTAAGCATGGCAATGTTGGGAACACAGCAGAACCCAGCTCTCCTCCATCCTTAGTAGTCTCTGCATAACCTCTTACTGTGAGGTACACTGCCAAGCAGCAGGATCCTGCTGTGAGGACACCACATGCATCACTCCCCACTGCTCCACACCAGGGGCTGTATGACAAAAGTTCACCACCATAGAGCCAAGGGGAGGAAATAACCAAGTAACAGCTGCAATGCCAAGAAGCTCCTGAGATTTGCAGTATTTGAGCAGGTAAGTTTTCATTGCTCTGTTCTTACATAGGACACAGCACAACGAGCTTAAACACATGCCAGAAATCTTCCAAACTTCATGCTCCTCCAGAATTCCAGCATATGCCCTCTGCTAGCTGCCTCCCCTGCATGCAAGGCACACCTGAGTTCTCTGATCACCCTGATGGTCTCAGCCTCACTGATTAGGCTAAAAATAGGAATGGCCATCTTGTTAGCAGCAGAGCACAGCTAACAAGAAAAACCTCATGACATTTCAATTTCAAAAGGTTTCTTGGTATTTTATTTCTGATTTACATTTTCCAACTTTATGGTGATGTTAGCCACAAGAAATTGTAGCAGAAATTTTGTTGTTTATAACACTCTTGGTTTTTGCTACAGCAGCAGCAAGGTACCAGCTCCACACTATAAGTGATAGAATACTTAAAGCATTCACACTAAAGCATGCAAAAATTAGTAAAAGCATCCAAATGCTTTATCAGATCTGGACAGACGTGTCTAATTTTAACACACTTGCACACTCTGACCTTTGCATGCCACAATTCTTGCTTCTCAGCTGAGAGTTGGAAGCAGTCCTTGCACTGCTTATCTTTGTAATGATCAAATCTGTTAAGTACCAGCAGGGCCATGCACATACTGAAGGATATACCCTCTGTAGATTTCCAGATGCAGTTCTTCACATTCCCCTCAGATATGATACAAAGAGAATTAGCAAGAGTTCTGCATGCCGTTCCAAGAAAGATACATTTGTTGGACACTGAACTTTCATCAGCCTTATAAAATTTTTGCCAAGCTTAATCAGCTCAGGACCGACAGAATATAATGGTAAATATATGCTCTTAATCTGTACAAGAACTCCTCAGCAGAGACTAAGCTTCTCCCTTGCTAGGTGCTTCAGTAGGCATTGTGCCCATACATGTGGTCTTACAGCCTGACCCATCACAGCTTGCATACTATCAAAAAGCCCTGCAGTACAAGGAAGGAGCCATTTTGCAGCATTAAGGCTCAAATTATTTCAAATATATCCCTCCCGCTTTCTGGATCAATCATTTCCATTTACATCACCATCCACCTGGGCAGAAAACTGGCAGTTATGCTTTTATACAGATTAGATATTCAACATTCACTGATGATGTTTAGTGCTCAGACTCAGACACACCAGTTCAGAGCAGAAAATTATTGCCATTTTCCCCAGAGAAAAGCATTTGTGTTTGCTGAACAGAATAACTATTTTCCCCTACAAAAACTGCACTGGCTGAAGACCAAGAGCAAACAGATTTCAAACCTGTTCCAAAAACTTCCCCTTTAAATGCCCCTGGAAGAAAAGAAAGAGTTCCTATTGGAATTACTGCTAGAGCTTAAAGACCTTCACATATCAAGACCTGGAATTATTCAGTTATTCTGCACTGAAAGAGCAATTTCAGAGCAGTTGTAGAGGTATTTTTAAACATTAATTAGTAAGCTTCTCTCTCACTCCTAGGTCTGTGAGAACACATTCTGCACAAGTGGAATCAAAGCTAGGCTTGTAGAGGAATTAACACTTGAAGTCTTTGAGGATTTTGTTCTTTTTCCTCTCAACACAAAGACATTGCTAATTCTCACACACGCATCAACACACCATCCCAAGGCAGCCTGACTCACAGCGCACACAAAAGCCTTGTACTCACCCACTCAGAGGACGGAGATGAGGCTAGCATCAAGAAACAAACCATATCCTGCCATGCTGGAGACAAAAGCAAAAATCAAACTTCTACAGCCCTCAAACAGGGCACAAAAACTGTGCCACAGCTCAGGCTGAAGCTGCCCTATGTGGAGGCCAGCCCTCTTCATACTCATCACCTCCAGCTGCAGGAGGACCAGCACCTGCTGCACGTTACCAGCCCAACCCCGCCTGCTTGACACAGCTGTGCTGCAGGCTGTGGGCTCCAAGGCCATGTCCCCAGCATCAGGCAGGCTTGCTGCTGGTTACTCACCATGTCTTTTTTGGGGGATAATTTCAGGGATACTCCTGTGCACCCCTGGAGCTTTGTGCAGAGGTAACACCAGACACACAACATCAGGATTTGTCTCTTTGGAAGCCTCAGGGCAGCTCAGCTCACTGCTTTTAGACTTTTTTATTCTATGAAAAAATGTTCTAAGTTCAATTATTATTTTTTTTTTCCAACTCAGAAGAAATTGCTTAAATATTTGGATTCTTATCAGGTTAAAGCGTTCAGGATTTTGAACACCTTAACTTCTTTCTTTGTGCCAGCACGTGTATGTAGTACATGTACAGCAACAAACCAATTTAACAAGCCCACCACTTGCAAAGACTTACCCACAGATTTGAATGAGTATTCACTTAAGCTTGGTAAACACATTGAGACCAGGTGAACGTCACTGATGTAATTTAAACGATGCTGTAAAATACTCAGCTGTGACTTCAATCCAGCAGCACAATTCAAGGCTCACTGCTATGCCCGAAGGAGAACCTCCATATACCTGTTCTGTGTTGTGCTACAGCAGCTTCCCACTCTTGCTGCTCTCACCCACCATTCCCATTTTCAATTGCCTAAAGAGAAATCACCTACAAGGCAGGCTGATAGATTATTCCTAAGAATTAGGCTGGAATCTTGGCATTCTTTGTCTGATCTACTGAGCAGAAGGCATTTCATGAACACTACTTGCTCCCTTTCTTAAAAATCTTTAAGCTCTTCCAGGTTTCCTTCAGTAAATTGGAGACTATTGTGCACGTGGAAAAAATAAGATAAGCATCTGCTATAATCAAACATTTCAGTGCTGTTAGTTTGGAACAAAAAATGTATAAAGTGTACAACGTAATTCACATCAGATGGAAACTGTGCTGCGTTTTTTTAAATAATAGTTGAACAGAGTCCTTCCCTTACTGTTACATTTCCTGATATGCTTTTCAGTCATCTATGGACAATGCTTCCTTTGTGAGAAACAGTGATACTGATACAGCATAGAAATACTGCATACAGAATTGAAGTTTTTTCATTTACAGATACTATGTTCACCTCTACCAGCACGAGCAGGGTTAGCTCTTATTTCAAAAGTCAGACTGAATGGACTTAAAAGAAAGACATATTTCTTTCCAGGAATGAAACAATTAAGCAGCCAGGATTTGTTCCTGTTTGGGAATCTCTTCCTTAGGAAATAATAAACGGTACAAATGGGTTTTACATGGGTGCCCATCTCCTGACTTATGTCTCAGTGAAGGTCCTGAGTGGTACCTGAAGTGCTCTTTCTTCCTCAAATTATGAAACGAGGAGGAATTCAGAATTTGAAAGTAGCCCATTGAAATAACCCAACCATGTTTGCTAATGGACCACTTTACTGCTTTCAGCAAGGGAATGCTATAAGATTCCTTAATCTACCTGCAATTTGATGATTTCAACTTGCTTTCAGCAACCAGGTATGTGCACGAACTGTATTCCCTGACGAGCCAGCCACCCATGCGGGACTGATCAGCATCCTACCTTGGGTGTATCAGAAATGCAATGATATGACAAATTCTCTTCTGGCTGTTAACACAAAGCAGGTGTAAAGTGGAAGAATAAAAAATGCCAGCCGTCATGGCAGATACTGGAGAAGAGGACTGTGAACAAAGGGCTAACAGAAAGGATCCCTAGGGCCTGGCATTCTGCAAATAGGTCTGTCTGAAAGGCCTTTCCTTTCCCCGGCAGACAGTCAATCACAGGATAATTCATTCCAATTGTATCACATTGAACTGTTAGTTGGGTTACACCTAGAGCTATGTTTCATCAGTCTTCAACAAGTTACAAGACATCAGAGTAAACTTTTCCTCACCCACAGCTCCACAAAGCACATTTGCTGGTCTCAGCAGGATGATCTATCTGTATTACTGCACAAACGACAGCCAGACTCAAAACATTCTTCACGTCTTCCGAGTTTTATATGGCTCTTGTCTACATATGTATGTCCCACCTGGTACCAAAGAAGGATATGTGTGTTTGAAATATGCTTTCTGCCTTTTTAGGCTCCTGATTAGCTTTGAAAATACCACCTGCAGAGATGACACTCAAAATCACAGGACTGTTTTAGGACATGTACCACTGATGCCATCTACACAGACTGGTAATACCAAGAAAGCACACTCTCACCACTCAAGGCAGCAATCAAAACTGAAGATTTCTGACTGATTTGCAAAGTAGCAAAGAAATGATGTCCCCAGGCTTCTGATCCCTGGTGAAGGACATTAAGATTAGCAATTGTCTCAGTACTTTTAAGAAATGGCTTAGGCCACAGCTTAGAAAAACAGGAGACTGCTTTTGATGTAATCATCACTGGTGAACTTCTGCTTGCTCATTTGTGCTCCAAGGTAGTATTATGTCACGGTCAATTTAGATGCACTGAAACATTAGAGTTAACTGACTGTAATGCCATCTTCCCAACGTTTATTGCAAGCTATCTCAACTAATGCAGCAGAATTGCACAGAGGAACAAAATTTCCTACGTGCATGCATTGCAGATAATGACTTTAGTTTGCATCCAGCTGTGCAAAAGTTGCACTGAAGTACAATAGTAGGACACCTCAGGTGTGGTGTAAGATGCAACCTTCTCAAAAGTCAGGGCGACACATCTTGCCCTCCTTCACTCAAGCAAGGCCTCAAACTCTCCTCTAGTGTGTCAAGACCTGAAGCTTAACGTCCTGTTCAATATCTCTCTTTCAGAAATCACACAATGAAATCATTTCTAAAGGCCACTGCCGGCAGCGCACATGAAATTCGAGTAAAAGTGCAGGGCCCTTGCTTTTTCTGAGATGAAAATTGAAAAATTATTGTTTTCTTAGGCAAACTATTATCTGGGGCAGTGGTGCTTTATTCTATAGCAGACAATAATCACTGATTTATCTTCAGTCTCACTAATAAAAGCAAAAAATGTTGCTATGGTACCTTCTGCTGGTACCTCTTCAGTCAGCTTTGTAATTTCCAGTGCCCTCTGAGTTAGTAGAATCCAAGCACTGTAATTGCCTCTCTTGCTTGGCACAGTCCTGAACTGAAGTCCACTCAGGCTGATAGGAGCCCTTACTCCAACAGTTTGGAGAAATATGCTCTGAAACCTACCAAAGTTAATAACAGAATATTCACTCACTACACTCGATCCTGAGTTAAGATTTTCTTTCTCATGCCTGATCCATGACCTGTGCTCTCTATGAGAGCTTATCTGCAGCTACATCTTTCCCATTTTTGCTCTGAGGCCTTTACACAGAATGTTTTCAAATACAGACCACATGTGTTTTAATATACTGAACTTAAATTTCATTTTACAGAACCCAAGCAACTGTACTTAGTAATTTCTTTTCCCTTAGATCTACCCATTTGTTTTTTGCTTTTTTGCTTTTTTTTTTTAATACCAGCCATGTACTTACTGTACTTCAATTTTCTGATGTGGCCTCACTTCAAGTTTTGACATTTTGCTGAAAAGCTTCAACAGCAATTAGTCAAAACACGATGGGATTTTGATTTTCAGCTTAATCCATACCAGAGCATAGACCGAAGCAGTTTTCTTCCAGTGAATCCAGACTTTCTAATTACACTGACTAATCACAGGAGTTGTAAGAGTGTTAGAGGTGGAGCAGTGCCTCTCTGGGTGCATGGCCCAGCCTAATGAGCAGGATTCAATGCTCACTGAAGCTAACTGGCAGTTTCCACACCAGCAGCTGTGCAAGAAAGCACGTGGGAAGTAGGCTCCCCTCCCTCCCTTGGGAAACCTTGGCTCCATTTCACAAGTTCTCATCGACCCCCCCTGCATTTAGACTTCTCTCTTTCCTTTAGAATCAGCTTTGATGATCTCCCAACACTTTCTGGTTTAACCTTTTGCTACTTTTAAGAAATATGCTGACTGTAACCAATTGAATTAACTTACCCAGAGCTGAGCAGCAATGTCTCCAGTGGTTATGGCACAGACTGGATGACCAGAAACTGAGACTGATGTAGGGCTTCATCTCCAATCTCATTGCTAAAGGAGGATCTTTAACTCTATCCCTTAACCGGTGCTGAGTTAACTCTGAATCCTGAACATGCCTAGGGCCTCTGGGCTTTAAAATCCATGCAGCTGCCATCTCGCTTCTAAACACAGAAAATACTGTTTCTGTAACACTGTTCATTTTCTCCCATTTTGGGAATGTTGCATCTGTACTGGAGATGCACAAATACTGAAGATCCCAATTCAGATATTCATACAAAACTTAAAGCCAGACAGATTTCCAGGAACCAGGACAGAAGCCGTGCACAACCCAGCATGTTCCTCATGCTGGGGGGAAGATCCGCAGGAGATTGCAGCCTGCACTGCCAGCACTGTTTCAGCCAGGGACAGAGCGATTCCAACTACCATGACAAGTCAGTTTTCCAGATGGCAAGTGCTATCAGCCAGCAGCAGGAGAGGTGCCCAGGCCAACATGCAATACATGGCCACACAAGCTGTAACAGCAGTGAGACAACACAGTGTGAGCCAATGAGCCTGTGCCCTTAGCTAACAGTGATACAAATCAAGAACCATGCCATAAAATTACAGAACTTCTCTCCCCTGTATTTACACATAAAGGATAACTACCTTTAAAAACATCCCCCAGGCTGCAGCAAAGTTGCCCACGTCAGCATTGCCTCTAAAGCATCCCTGAAAATCTCTAAATGACGGAGAGGGAAGTATGACAAAATTTCTGTTGAAGTTTGTGTTCATTTCCAACCTAAAAAGATCGAAACTAGGAAAATATGGAATTCTGTAACATAATCACCTACCTGAAAACAAGAGTGCATATATAATCTAAGGGCTAGCTCAGCTCCCACTGAAG